GACAATGTGTACATAGGACCTCGTTTTCTCATCCCATCCGAATGACTAGACAGCTTTCCTTGTAAGGCTCTTTGTCCTGCACCACAAATGGGGTTTAATGTCCTACTGCTCTGCTTCGACTGGGCTAACGCCATAGAGTGTGCTTTGAGGGAAATTTTGCCTGAACAGCAGCACTACAGCCTACTCTTATATCGAATTCCAACTGACAATGTGTACATAGGACCTCGTTTTCTCATCCCATCCGAATGACTAGACAGCTTTCCTTGTAAGGCTCTTTGTCCTGCACCACTGACAAGGGGAAACCACACCGAAAAAAATCCTGATGAACTTTCTTGGCCATCAACGGAAGTGAACCTGTGACCTACAGGCTTGCAAGCCAGTGTCTTACCCACTTAGCTACCATGGCTCCCCTACACAAATAAGAATCATTATATGCATTGATTGAAGCAGATGTTAAACTCACTTTGTAAGTACAACTAGCTTTTCTACTTCAGTGGTAATTTGGTTGGTTACGTCAATGATATCAGAGAGATAAGCAGGTAATATATAAATTACCTGGAGTAACTTTACCTACAATAAACATACCTTTATCTACGTTAGATATATACTATAAATCATTGGGTTATATGACACTTTAACAACTTAAATAACTTGTTTTTACATCTCAACCCAAATAAACATTCGATAACCTGACATTTACAACAATCGCACATTAGTTCAACAACAATTTCTCTTTTTCTCTCTGTGAATAATTCACCAAAAATGTTGAGAATTTTGGAAATAATGACATCCGTAGGTAACTACAAGCTTTTATACTTGAAGTGTAGAATATCTCGAGGTCTATATATCTAACCTTTTCTTTCACTGTGTTGAACTGTCAAAATTATCTTTATTCCTCCAACCTAAAATATGACTAACAGACACAGGTTTCTTTGGCGATGTTCACCCAGACTTAAATGGCCATACATCATTTCTCAAGAATCGTCTCAAAGAGTCTGCAGATGCCAATGGACAATTGAATTTCACAGGGACACCTGATCACAAATTATAATTCTTTATATATCCACATTGGATTATCTGTTGAATATTTGGAAAATAATCAGTAAATTTATCCAGAGTATTTTGATTCAAACCTTTCTGATCACATTGAGAATTTGTGGCATTTTTGTCCAACCTACATCTACTCTAGTGCGAACAAGACTTTAAAATAGTAAAAATTAAACTGTTGTCACAAGGCATCCTGTAGCTTACATGTATTTCCTTGACATTATTTGATTAATGCCTTTTATCTTTTCTATCATAACTAGGTTAGAATTTTTTCAAATTGTGTTTTAAAGTTTTTATTGAGGAAAATAAGAATGAATTAAACTTTATTTTATCTATGACTGATTTAAAGGAGTACAGTAAAAAAAATATTGTATAAGCAAAACAGGATCTAACAATATTATAACATCTTATTGTGTTTCATGTTACTTCTTTTTATTATTAAACAGAGATTTATCACCATTTACTTAAGTTAACAGTTCTTTTGTAGCTTACAATGTTTGTGTATTTGTCTTGCAGGTTTCCAGTACACTGTAATGTGTTGTGTGGCCTTTACTATTTACTAATCAGACATGACAGTTTCAATTAACTAATTCTTAATGTTTGTTCTTTTTAACTATGAAATGGAGAACCAGTGGAGATTTAAATTGCTACTCACTGGATCCATTCACTTAAGTTAACAGTTCTTGTGTAGCTTACAATGTCTGTGAGTATGTCTTGCAGCTTTCTAGTACACTGTAACATGACCTGCTCCTAACCTGGGCTAATGAAGACGGGCATACGCCATACAGTGTGCTATGGGGGAAATTTTGCCCGGACAGCGGCACTACGGCCTACTCTAATATCGAATTCCAACTGCCAAGGGATCTTTTACGTGCACGCCAATGTGTACACGGGACCTCGGTCTTTCGTCCCATCCTAACGACTAGACAGCTTTCCTTGTCAGCCCCTCCGTCCTGCATCATTGTTGAAATAACCCTTAGAGGACCTCTAAATGCCTGACTAATGATATGCTATGACAGATAAACATCAACCAGTCAGATGTAAGGTATATATTCAAATAATAGGGAAATTATTCATCAAAATAGTACCCTACCTAAGTTATTATGGTTAAAGTAGTTTTAACGCACAAATAACAGATTCTCCAAAAAAACTTCTATTTTTACTTTTTCTCAGAATTTCAGTCATTTTGCTACATGGAAATAATTAACATTTTTATTATGGATATTGTTAAGAAAAAATACCATAAAATTTAATTTTTTTTTTTTACATATCAAAGTATACTTTAATCAAGGCAAAAATATCTATATTTAACATTTTTCGCTAAGGCACAGTGAAAACATGAATATATGCAAATTCTAATGACTTTTTATTGATTTAAAAAAAAACACCAACAAACAGCTAGGTGTCTGGCAAGCCGACTGTAAAAGAAATTGACTAGTTTTCAATTACCATGTCATAAAATTGAGTAATTATTACATTTCATATAAGACAGAACTCGATAAAATGGCACATATTGTATGAATTAACTGCCCTTCAATATCCAATAAATCATGTTTAAGTAAATTAATATAAATTTCTTAATTAAATGTTTAGGCCTACCTGTATTTTTGGGTCGGAGGATAAACTCCTCCATCATAACCATAATGCGACATGTTGGAATTTTTGCTCCAGTATCAAAAATGCTGATAAAATACAGCTATAAAAGCCAGATGTTTGTACTATACATTTCTCATTAACAAGTTCCCTCGTATACTAAAAATATATACTAAAATACTGTACATGAATCTAACACTCCTCCTCCACTATTTATAAACACCCAGCTTCAACCAATCAAATAGCGTCTAATGAATCATACTACAGCATTGTGGGATTATATAATGTAAACACTGGCACATGGCTAATATTGGTGATTATCCAGTCGTGTTATCAATGGTATTACATATGTATTTCTATTACATACGGTTCTCACAACTATGAGTAGATCTTGTCATCCAGTGATGTTATGACAACAAGGTGTGATTGGGTTATAATAGTTTGGTATTTCAGGCTCAATCATCAAGCCCTGAACATTAAATGACAAAAAATATATCATTTAAGACTCAGTGATCTGTAAATGTGGCATTTCTCCTTCACAACTGAGTGATCACAATAAAGAGATGACAGAGTCAAGTGAGATAATATAATCAATTCTGATGTCATTTTATTGACCTAGTTATACATGGGTTGATGTCAGCCGAAGAAATAACAAGACAATCAAAGTAAATTAGGCAAACATTAAGACATATGACAAAACAGTATAAATATACAATGAACAAATCCCTTTAATATGAACAGGACTTTCACAAAAATATTTATGACTGACAAATTTTCGAGGAATTGCTTATCTGCTGATATATACTCACTGATAACAAATAAGCAAACCTAGCATAGCTGATATAAATTTATAAGTAGCTATATATAGGCCTACTATAATTTGTATCTGAATTTGACAACTGTACGCTACTGTTATTTTAACCCTTTACTAATGCTGGAAATTTGTTATGGAGTCTTATTGTAATCAATAATAGAAATATGTGCATTACATGGTTAATGGTTTGTTTAACAGATCTTCAAAATCTCTTAACATTTTGTCATGACTTAACATATTGTTTGTGACCATCAAAATTTTCTTCAGTTCTTCTAACATACCCACTTTAAAGAGTACTTGATGAACTATCTATACAGGGATTGATGTTCAAAGAATTATTGTGGTACAATAAACTTATTGTTATTGACACCATCCTACAGGAAATACTTATACTATCTATCCCGCTACTAGTACTCTATCTTTTATACTTATTCATTCAGTTTGCAGTATTGACATTCACTCAGTTACGGACATGATGACATGATAAATACAGAAATAAACTAAACCAGGTTTAATGAAAACACTATATCCTAAAGTCACAACTTTCTAAGATAAATGCACTTTTTCAGTTTACAAACCAGGTAGAATGAGGAAAGTTTATATTCTTAGGATATTAAGAATCATAGTTTGTGATTTCCACTAGTAATATATTTTTGAATTAAACTATTTGATTTTCTGTATTTATCTACACTGTACTCATGCCCCATCTATTTATAAGGCATAAAACCATTTCATGTTTCATTAATGCACATCAAAAGCTACAATATGGCTATCAATTTTAGTTAGGCCAAAGTAATATCACTTTTAGCTTTTAAGGGTCTTGATAACTATTCAACTATTCAAGTCTTGTGAACAACGTTTTAAAACTCAAACATTATATTATTAAAAGAGCAATTGAATATTTTTTGTTCTTAAACATTTAGGAAACAAAATTTTCATAACTATTCCCACAGAACAAACATTCAAACCGGTATGACCCTGAGCATAACCTTTCACAAAATGAAGGGTGGTTACAATTTTGTAATTCAAATCGATTTTTTTTTTTGTGATGTTTACAGATGCATTATGTAAGTTTTAGTTAAAGGGTTGACCCTTCTTGAAATAATAGTTCAAAAATAGATAATGACAAAAGAATTTATTGAAAATTTCATTCAAATTACACTATTCTGAGTGAAGCTATGGCTGTTTGGAAGTTATAGATTGTTTATTATTGTAACAACAGTACTTGACAATCAAGTCTAAGTATCAATTATCCATTTATCATTAAATTTGTAAATCTCGCAGGTGTTTTAATCCATTTAAATCTAAGACTTCCAATAGTCTAGCGAGTTGATTTTAGGCTTGTCATGTGAATAAATGTCTAAATAATAGTTTATATAACATTTTGAAAAAAAAAAAAAAGAACTGCAATAGGCAGGTTTAGCTCTTACATAATGCATCTTTAAGGGATACTATTAAATTAAAGTGTAGATGTAAAGGTATGATATACTGGTGGATGTACCATATGAAAACAAAATAATGTATACCATAGTAATTATAAACTTACCTGGAGATCGGAATTGTCTGGTCTTGAACTAAATCAGGCATGTTCTTCTGTAAAATATTATAAATATAATAATTATTCAATTTAATCTTTTTTAAAAAATAGAAAACCAACTTCTGAAATACTAGTTTTCAGAAGATGAGCTCTAATAAAGTGTGTCAAATTGAAAGTCACCATGATGACCAGAGTTATCCCCCTTTAGTCTTCAGATCTGCTTGAGAAGACATTTCTTATTCATGGTTTGGCTCAATGTCCACAAAAAGGTATTAATTAAAAATTATTACAATTTCTTTTCTCAACAAAAGTTTAATATGTTTAAGGGTCAAACTGTATTTTCATTTATTTCAATTTTAGTTTAAAACAATTCCTTTTCTCAACATAAGTTTAATTTGTTTAAGGGTCAAACTATCAAACTGTATTTTCATTTATTTCAATTTTTGTTTGAAAAAACAAATATTTGTTTCACTTTGTTGACATAATTTGTCAAAACAGTAGAAAACATGAACATTTCAAATATTAGTGGCAATGGATAAAATGTATGTGTCTTGCTTCCCAGATCAATGTGTTCTACTATCTAAATGATCCTCATATAAATAAAACCAAGCAACCACATTTATTTCTCAACCTGGGTCCTTATAACATCATTTTCGACTGGAATAAATGGATATAAATATAAAGAATGTGGGGACCCTTCGGGACTAAATCTTGTGATATTGTATAGCCGTTCATTGCAAAAGTTCTTAAGTGTGAATCCATTTCGATTTAAAATGGTTCAAACATTATCCAACGTGGAATATCATTTATGTCTCAGTCGGGATCAGTCTTGGAAAGCCCAATTATTTGTATCGTAACATTTCTACTTGCTTATCAGCCTTCTAAGTGATTTGATTGGCTTTTTTGGAGGGTGCACGGCATGGGCTATTTCCGAATAGGATAATAGATGCCATTTCTCTTGGGAGGGCTTGCTAAATTGAACAATGGTGGGGTCATAAACCGTTATATAAACGATCAAATTTCGTTACAGTGCGGTAAAAATAATTTTCACTCGGCTTTGAGAGTTCATATTTTTATAAGGCGTTCGGCTTTGAGCGTTTGAATGAATGGAGTTAAACACTTGTCATTTTAGAGACCAACATAGAGTATTCAATGGTGACATGTGCCATGGTAGGGAGGAGAATTTTGCCCCGACAGCAGCATTTTCTGTCTGCTATCAAGGTTTTCTTTTGCATGCATCCCAATGTGTAACAAGTGGTCTTTGGTTTTGATCTTTTACCATACTTGTTGAATTTTAAGATGAAATCAATTTTACGGGATTTAACTTTTCAGAAATATGACGCCTAAAATATAATTTAGAAAAAAAAAAAAACAATAACATACCTCAATTTCATCTTTATGTCGTTCATGTCGGGTAGTGTGAGATGGCGAAAAAACACTTATATCCTCATATGTGTTTTCTGAACACATAGATGAACGATTAGATTTCCCTTCTGCATCATTCCCGTAACTTGAAGCTTGAGAACGTAGTCTACTCCACTCAGTTTCACGTCTGGGTTTATTCATATCCATGTAATCCTGAGAATTACGCGAGGATGATGATGAGCCAGATCTTCGGAAGCTGTCCGCTCTTTGCGTTCGATTGGCTAAATTTTCTGATGTTTTTGAAATCAGATCTTGTACAGACTGCGTTGGAGACATGGGTAGTTGTTTTATATCACCACTCGAACCCCGGTTACCTTGGCTACCTTCTTGACTTCCTGAAGAACTATTCCTTTTTCCAGTTTTAATCTCCATGAAGTTGAGCACAGCCTGTTGCTGGATCTTTTTCAGATCGGATTCAGAATTCCTTTTCATCATGTCGCCTGTTTTAAAACGAGTATAAGCTGAATCTGTCTGTGCTTGTAAAAGATCTGGACTGGAAATAGCAGGACTTTGGTTAATGCTTGTAACAGAAATATGTTCAGATACTGACCGTCTCATAGCAGCAACAGGTCTCTGTGAGGTGTGATCATTACTGAATAATTCCCTCTTTGTTCCAGCTGAAGTTTCTGCTCTTTGATCTTCACGTCCACTCGAAGATCGCGATCTTTGTACTTCATTATCCTGGAATACATCATTTTCCTCTTGAATTTGGTCCAAAGTTTTTGAATCAGCTGAACCTCGACTTAATCGACTCATTGGAACATAATTTTCCCCAGCTTTGCGTAAGCTCTGTGCTTCATTAACAGCTTTAAGAGTTGCAGCCGCACCACGCAGGACCCTCTCCGTCTCATCATAAATACCATACGCTTTCTTCATGGATGGTTTGCGTCCTAGGTTTACATCCACGTTCTTATCCTTGGTGTCCTCTTTGTTCACTCCTTGGTTCGTAGCAGAAGGAGATTTAGATTCATTAAACACAGAATCATTTGATTCTAATCGAATATCATGGCCGCCAGTTCCAGAAAGTCGAGAAGTATCGCTACTGCTGTAATGCGTGCTACCAGATGAACGACTGTCAGGGGAACTTTTTGGTTGGGATGGAGTAGAAGAATCAGAACTGCGGTGTGGTCTGCGAGGACCAGAAGACTTATTATCGGTATTAGGAGAGCTGTTTACTCTTGAATGATTGACAGATGATGAAGAGCTATACCGCAGTTCGTGTAATGGTCGTGATCGTTGAGATAACATACTAGGATCCAGACTTCTACGACCTTTGGCAATGCTACTCCTGTTGCTGGCCGACTCTGATATAACAGATGATAAATCATGACGGGAGTCCGAAAGACTGGAATGAGACCCAAAATCATCTCTACCAAACGGACCAGCACTTTCTGAGGAATGGATAACAACACTACTGTAGGATTCAGCTTCTTTCATCCCAGGTTGAACTGGGTCCACACGATTCGAAGACTCCTGGGGGGTATGATGTCGTTTGTCATAGCTGCTTGCCATTCTTCCTTTGTAAAACTCTTCCGATAATTTACGTAATATTGGCGCTTGATTGGCAGTATATTCCGAATAATGTGGAATGTGATCTTGGGCTTTTGGTTCACTTGGACCCTCGTCAGATGCATACTTTTCATGTATACTTTTAAAGTCTCCAATATCGGCATAATTAGAACGTATTGGAGAATAATCAGCGTAATTACGCGAACCATTGTCTTTTGGTTTTTCAGAGTCACTTCTGGATGCTACAGAATTTATATCAGCATAATTTGATCTTCTATCATTGGGGCTGTAGCTTTGTTTGTCCTGTCTCTGTATCACTTTGTCACCGAACGCGATTGCATCACTTGTTGTTGGTGAAGTCTGTGATCCAAAATCATTCACAGCAGCCGTTTTGGCAGAATTCACTGATTTTGGAATTGTCACTTGCATGTTATAAGAAGTTGGAGAACGATCTGTCTGAGTACTTGTATTATAATATGGCGTCTGTTTCACAATGTATGCTTTTGAACTAGATTTTATCTGAGACGATGGTCCTTGTTGATATTCACGAGCACTACTTCCAGTATTTGCTGGACTTTTGGGATCTTTTGGACTGTGTTGCGGACTCGTACATGAGTCAACCATTGTTTTTTCTCGTAAGTTAGAGTTACTCACAGATCGTGAAGAGGGTGGTCCCCCTTTAGCTTCAAGAGGACTGTGCATTGGACTTGTTGAACTTTGTACACTATAGTTAAGTTTACTTTGACTACGCTCTCCTATCTGATTCGTAAAGGAGGTGGGGCGAACGATTGGTTTCTCCATGAGCGAATTTTTAGCATTAATTTCTCTTTCCTCTAAACTAGGCACATCTCTTTCCGGAGGAGATGGAACATTATAATTTTCATCACCTAAATTATGTCCATCAGAATCAAGTTTCGGTGGTGGATAGCCAGGTTTCGAGTCATAAAACTTTTTTATCTGATTTTGGTCCACATTATCAAAGTTTCTTTGACGTACCCTTCCATATTTATCATAAACAAACTCGGATTTAAGACCAGGATCACTTCCCACACGAATTTTACCATCTTCCCCTTTTCTCTCTGAATTTGGACTGTTTCGTTCAGGTAAAGGTCGTAGTCCTGGAGTATACGCCAGACGCTGTTTACCTGGAAACTCTTTATTAGTGTTTGTATGATCTGTCCACGATTGAGCACGTGTATTTATAGGCTGTGACTGTTCGGAACCACTATTTGGTTTGGTTACTGGCCATGAAGGATATTTTTCATGACTCTGATTCACTTTAACATATCGTAAACTTGAAGGATCGCGCACTGGGGGAATGGGAGGCGATTGGGAAGATGCAATGGGATCACTTTGTTTTGTCTGTGACGACAATCCCTGAGTACATGTATCGTCACCATCAGAATCTAAATCGTCAATTTCTGAGATTTTTTCACTTCGAAGAGGTGTCGTTCCATAATCGGATATATTTTCGTAGTCTGCTTGGTATTTTTGTAACATATACGGTGGCAGAGATCTGCGTGTGTTTTTACTTTGTGAATTTTTACCCTCGTTATCATATGAGTCTGTTGTCTCGTACATATTTTTCTGAGACGGTTGATTGAGATAAGTTCGCTTGAAGTCCCCACTACCTAGATTCCATGACGTGTTTAAAGCAGATGACCGACTGTCTATTGAATAGCGTTCATAATTATTGTTATAATATTCAGAGCGTTTCGGACTTGATTGGGAGAGACTTTTCTCAGTTTTCACATCGTTGTTCAGATTCGGACTGGATTTAGCACTGCTGATTGAATTCCCATAACTTCCTGAAGGATTATTAGGGGTCGACTGAGTCAGACTGGGGGAAGATTTTGCTGGCGCAAGTTTACCTTCCCGAAAATTATGGTGAGGTGGAGCTCTTTCTGATGCTTGTCGATTTGTCTGACCATAAGTTTGGTTCTCGTAATCAGGTCTGTTTTCTCTCTTTTCTTGGTCTCCACGGTTACGTACTGGTTTCTTTACACTGAAAAATATAAACAAAATTTACATAAATTATTTGTAAAAAAAATTTAATTGCTTGATCTTTTGTCAAAAATAATGAAGTAATCTGAAGTTGATATCAATAATTATGATTATTTAAGTCTGAATTTTAAATATATTCAAATCTTATATTCTGATAAACACAAAAAGTTCATAAGCCTGTGCAAACTGAAATTGTTTCCACAAAAAGAATCTTGCATAAAACCTGCAAGCGATTTACGACCAAACAATAGAAGTTGAACCAGAGAAAAACATGCGGACAAGGTTGTCATCTATTATCTATGTTGGATAAACTGTGAATTGTTTAAAAAGGAAAACCCAAGAGTGTGATAAATTATTTTCTTGTAGATAATGATAACCCAGGGCCAGCCAAGAAGGAAAAGAAATTTTCTCGATGAAAAACTAGGACAGAAGTACATAAAACCTTAAACTGCCTGCGTTTATTTATCTGGGTGGTTAAGATGGGGCTTAAAGAACAAAACACTTTACTTTGTGCGGTTAAAGCCCTCTTTCGAGAGGCTTGGTTACATGTAAACACTTGATTCTTCTATTCTGCTAAAAACCTTTTACTTGGTTAAGAATACTACAACAATTCACAATATATAGATTTCTGTAAAGGAGATATGTTAAAGTGACAAACTAACTTTAAAAGAGATATGTTAGTTAAAGTGATTGTCTCGCTAACTTTTAAGTGAGAATATCAATGCACCATTTATTCAAATTCTGAACTAGATGAAATATATGTTTGAGCAACTATTTTAATCATTAAAATACAACAAATAAATAAACATCTTCTAAATAAAAAAACAAACCTAAGAATGAATGACTGAAGTCAAAATCAACAAACCTAAAAACAGTTTCATCTCATAGATTTTTGTCAACATGTCACAGGTCAATATCATAAAAATTATATCCATACATGTACAATAATACAGGTATTCACATTATAAACATATTCAATGATAATATTTCACAGCTATATGTATATATAGTATATACTAGTAGTTACAAATTACTTATGTAAAGTACACCCACATAGTAATACTAAATCCTATATCAACAAACATGGTCACTAATCCATATACTACGATCAAACCACACACATATACTATATACTATAAACACATTGGTCTCTCCACTTGTTCTGTTACAGTACTATTTATTTGTAAACAATAATATACATAGATCACACTCCGCATATACCACACCCATGACAGTTACAATATTATGAATAAATTATCTCATTAATATGTGGGCTGAAGGAAACCAAACAGGTAAACCCCTTAAGAACATCTTCATGTGGATTTCACTAATCTGGATGAGGTAAATGGTTTGGTGTCATTTTGCTGATTACATGGAATGAGATAACAAAAAATATAAATGACTTGTCACTTATATGTCATGATTGGCTGAGATATTAGTCGTGACAGGTGTCTCAGGACATGGTATTCTGCTTACTCCTGAACACCTGATACCACTACTTTTAAAAGGAGACTCAGATCTAATTATAACGTCTCAAAAAGTATTTCGACACATGGAGTTATTACATGTTCAAATAGCTTTGAATATTGAATAGATGATATTTGAAACCACATCCCATATTATAAATTTTATTACAGTCACATGATTTTGAGTATTTTACCTGCAACCAGGACACAAAATGAATCGAATATGGATGATTGAATGAACAGCCTCAAGCAATATCAAAATTTAATTCACAAAATAAAGTGTCAGCATTTTTCTTTTAGAACAATTTGCAGACTAATTTGGGCGCAGAAACCCATACTCAATAAAATATTCATTTTTAGTAGGGATCGCTTGTGACCCGCTCTGGCTAAAGGATCCGCATGTCGCACAGCATCATATTTCAGTACAGTATATAGAAGTACTGTGGGACGAAAATTGTGAATTTGAGATTTGTGCGGAAATACATCACTTATAATGCGAACCACGAGGACTTTCACAACCTTCAGAATGAAATGTAGAATCCGAATATATCAATAACTCAATTTTAATTTTTTTGACCCATGATGATGCTCGAGATTCTAACTAGATTAAACCAGTTCGGCCATTTAATGATTTGATTTAAAAATGGAGAAACGTGGCTAAGACTCGAATTTTCCAGTAACGTAGTAACGATAATAAAGAATCAATGCACACATCTTGTCAAAACTACAAAAGGTGATAACTTGGCTCAGAATAAAGTAATTTGAATGAAATTTTCAAAATATTCATTTTGCATTATCTATTTTTGAACTATTATAGCAAGAACTGCCAGCTCTTTATCTAAATCTTATATAATGTATCTTTAATACACCTTTTAAATAGTTATGATGACTTTCAAGGCACATAATTAGAAAGAATAAAGAAATTATCATAAAAACTGAAACTGAAATATTTTTAGGATTCTGCCTTTAATTAGTCATAGGTTAAAATCTTAGCTCTTGGCCAATGAAAATGCTGCGTCTTAGTAAATATTTTCATGAAGAAGGCCCTGATGATCCCCCAAACTACCTGTGTGCCGTGTAATATCTATACATAAATAAAGCCCTGATGATCCCCTAAACTACCTATAACTACCTGTGTATTGGGTAAAATCTATACATAAATAAGGCCCTGATGATCCCCTAAATTACCTCTAACTACCTGTGTACTGGGTAAAATCTATACATAAATTAAGCCCACACACGATATAGTGGATTATTCCATTATGACATCAAAATAAACAGTGGCTATATGTGGTGGTAAACATTAGGAAATATGGCTCCTTGAAGATTATTGTATAGATGTCATTCATAGAAATAAAAATAAAGGAGGTTTATAAAGGATGACATTTTAGATGTACCTTAAACTATAACTGGGGATTATTATCAGCTTTTCCCAAGATCAAATTTCATTTATATGTTGGCAAGACACTGAAAGATTGCATTCATCTTTTAAGATTATTTACAGACGCTAACAGAAATAAAATTAATGTCTGATGATTTAACCATTGGTCATTTCAAACTGACACAGTAAATCGCTTTTATTGTTAAGAGCAGGAAGACCACATCACTCACAACAATTAACTAGAACTCCAAAGGATAAACACATGGACAATACAACAGTCCAAAAATGTTTGTGCACTCCTAAGATGGCATGGAATAAGGTGTTCTGGAATAGAGGAAGCATATCCTGCTTCATGCACAGACAACAAATAACTAGAAATCTACAAGATAAACATATTGATAATACAGGCCTACAACAAAATTTGTTGTCAAATGAGAAGTGCCATCACATGTTCTAGGATAGAGAAAGCATACCCTTCTCCATGCAGACAGAACCCATCACTAATTATACATAGCTATATGGGGGAGAGAGAGAACTAAGGTTTAACATACATAGTTTATGATCTAAAACATGTAACTTAGACCACACAATGCCCCCCCCCCCCACTCTCGCCTGCTATAGCTATAGGCATATGAAATGTTACATATTATGCATTGTCAAGTGGACCCACATGGTATATTATATCTAGACATACTGATATACACATGTACTTGTGGTAGGTAATATAGAAATACAATAGTCACATAGTATATACATGTAGGTAACAATCTCGTCCTTATATACATAATAATACACACCTATATTATCAAACAGGTCTGATTCACACCTCCATCATAAATAAATAATAACTCTAATATACAATAAATAACATGCTTCTATTGACAAATACTACAATATCTACCTACTCATCAAATAATATATTATATACATACATAATCCCTCCTACCTTTATTCAGTTTCTATTATTGTTAGAAATACAAGTTTCTGTAGACTATTATACACTTCATACAATCACTAAAAGTAACCTGCATTTTGAACAATTTTTTTTCCAATTTTGGTCAATAATATTCAATATGGAAGTTGGCATAAGATGAAACTTACGTCAGTTAATGTCACACCATCCTCTGTAGTACGTTCTAACATCAAAGTGGATATAAATCAAACTAGGAAACTACAATATTGTATAAGTTGTGTCTCTCATATAGTATGTGCAGGAGGAACACACTATACGCAAAACAAAACTGACAAGATAAACCTGCAGACATGACAAACTACATTTACATTGCAAAGAAATAAACAACAAATATCAAATCAAGTGAATGCATCCTTGGGCCAAATAAATAACAAATATCAAATCAAGTGAATGGATCCGGGGGCCAGTCGTAAGTATCCACTGTGCTGTATAGTTCTGGGCCTGTAATGATGCAGGCTTCACTCAAAATGAAATAAAAAAATCATTTACAAGAAATAATGCGACCGATCTTGATGGTGGTCGTCTCTTGAATGGCAATAGTCTACCAGTAGACATCACGAGTAAGAACATCAAACAATTTTAACAATAAGGGCGATAATCCGGATAGAATCTGGGGAGAAAATGCTAAAAAAAAAGTAAATAGGAGCATAATAAGGAATAGCAGTCCAAAAATGGTTTAATTCTGTTTAGTATTTACAAAGATATGATGAACTTAACAATCATTAATCTATACTGTTCCCCATGTAAATGAGCCCTGATATCGATCCGATTGAATCCTAGCCTGGAAATTATTTAGGGTTGATATTTGATTTGTTTTTCTTAATTAAATGTTAAATACTTATTTAACTTATTATTAGCATAGATAAAGCTTTGAGAAATTTAATATTTTCCCAAAAAATGCAAAGCATGCACAGTTACTTTATTCCAATTTCACACCATTTGATTTTTCCATATTTGAATTTGAATAAAGAATCTAAAATTATTACCATTATCATTTTCTGCTTCTCATTATGAAACTAACAGGCTTATTTATGTCATGGAAGATCAACCAGACACAATTCTTACTTGATCTGGTGAAAACATAACATTCCACTCCATTCCCTCAAACCTATTCGAATTTGATCTGATACATCCACATATATTTCAGTGATTACATGTCAATTATCTTTAAAATTCAACTA